CACACACACACACACACACACACAGGTTTCCTCCAGTAGCTGTTGTCTTTAAAGGGATTTCTGTGCCCCATACTGGCTTATTTTTTTTCAAGTCGGAAACTAAAGCTACTAAACTGGAACTATGAAAGTCTTGCTTTTCCTGTTGACTGGGAAACCTCTTAAAATGGTTTGCATGACAGTCAGTATTCATTTCACCTAGTTTCCTAATAATACTATAGATACTTGATGTTGTAAATTCCTCGTCTCAGATTTTTTGTGTTGTAAAGATACTGACATGATCAATCTTTGAAGCAATATGAAACCTCTTACTGTTCTTTTAAAAGGCTTTGTGTGAAACCGTATGGTTTTAATTTAATTATGATTGTTGCATTTTGGTCTTATTGCCATTATTGTTGCTATTTTCATAGTGCAGACTTTATTTTGGCAGTATTAGTGTCTATATGGGATGACAAAATGAAAATACTTTGTTTAAGAGTTAAAATTGTCCCCTGTATTTTAGTGAATCTCACAAAATGTCATTTCACAGGTGTTTATATACAGTATATATACATAACAAAAAACAATAAACATGTTTGTCATGAAACAACTTCACAATGCAAAAACGAATATTTTTTATTTAATACAAATTAAATTCATATTAAAAACGAATATTTTTTATTTAATACAAATTAAATTAATATTTATTTTTTTTGCATTATGACGTTCTCCTGACAAACTCATATTCCTTTTATTATTATTATTATTATTATTATTATTATTTTGTAATTTATAGTGTTAAATAAACAACAGCATATATCTACAGTATAACAAAAAATAATAATAAATGTGTTTGTCACGAATGATAGGAAATAATAGGAAATCATGAAACAATGGCATAATGCAAAATATTATAACATTTAATAAAAATGTAATTAATATTATACACACACACACATATATATATATATATATATTAATTTCATTAAAACTAAAACAATTGATGTTTAAATATTTTTCAATTTCTTATTTTTTTTTATAAGAAGTTTTGATTGAAGTATGACCCTGACAGCTTTTGTGAGATTCACGCTTTTTGTCATTGTACGTTTTCCCCATTTTTAATGTATATTGAAAAGCAAATCTCGCCAAACTTCGGGACGAAGATGAGGTGTTTTTTTAGCAGCATCATTCCAGTTGCCAATGACCTTTGATATGTGACTTTGTCTTTATACGAACGTTTGTTGTTCATCGATGTCCTGATTTATTTCAGATTTACTACGTATGATGGTCATGAGGGTATTACAGTTACTTCTTGAACGTTTACAAAAAAGTATGCGAGTGATGTTAAAACTCGTGCTGAAAGCAGAAGAGGAGAATCTGGCCGTGCTCGTCTTATTTCTCGTGTTTAAATGGAGTAAAGGGTGTTTTTGTGTTAATCAGGGCTAGTTTTGATGAGGTTTTCTGTGTTAGGTCATTAGGATTTTAATTGAGTGTATTTATAGATCTCTGTGAGCACAGAGAAGTGAGTGACCTCATGCGTGTTTGATGGAGATGTACAGAATCATAAGGAATTGAGATATTATTGTGTATTATTATAATGTTCATTGCTCAGAACTCCTCTGAACATTTCCATCGTGTATGCAGTATGTTATACGGAATCTGAAAGCAAGATCAAACTAACTACAAAATACATTTTAAAGGGTCGCTTGGGAGTAAAGAAACTAGTTTTCATCTTCTGATTGGCCAAATAATTTTTCACACACTCCATACGCTACGTAACACGATCTAGCCTCTCGTGGACTTTTGTGAAGCCTGGAAATGTATTTTTGCAGATTTGAGTGTTTGATTGGATACTGACGGGATTTTGGATGCTCTGGATGCTCATCGTTTATCTGCCATCATCAATAAAATTGACAGATTAAACTGAAATGAGATAAGTGGAGTTTCTGTCCAAGCCTTTTTTTTAGGATAATAGTAATAATAAGGATAAAAATGAGCATAATAACTAGTTTTGGGATCCTGATCACCCCATTCTAACATTTAAAAGGCAGCTATATATTTTAATGTATAAAAATAAGCAGAAAAAAAATTAACAAATTTGAAAAATTTTTCTTTCATTTTAATATTTTTTTTCCAAATCATTTAAATCAATCTTCATTTTTTTTATTTTCATATTTTTCAACTATTTTTATTTATTTATGTTTAATCTTATTTTTTTTCTACGCTTTATTTCCTAATCTTTTCCATGGACCTTCTAGCGCTTCCTTGTAGCCCCCTGAATAATAATAAAATTAGAATATAAAATATTTCAGACTTTGCCTATTTAAAATGAATTCATAATATGTATTATTATTATTAACATTTACATTATAAATAAACGTCAGAACATTATTTATGTAATTATTATTATTATTAGTAGTAGTATTTGCAATATAAATAAATGTCATCAAATTGTATTTATTTATTTACTTGCGTACCTTCCCTAGCTCTCCGTTGATGTCCACTGGGGTCCCTGCCTGCTTTTGATGTTGTTAGGAAACATCTGCTAAGCTTAGCTGCAACCATGGCGCTGCTGTTTTGAGCCATGCTAAATTAATCTAAATGCATCAATACAGAAATTAATTTGTATGTACTCTTAACAAAATAAACGTTATTCCAGCAGTCGGAGCTGCTGAACACATAATTCGAGTGAGGCATTATTCGGGGCAGCGCTTAAGGGGTCCTGAGTCTGCTGTGCTAGCATTAGCATTAGCGTGTAGCGCGACGCCGGAGTCTCTTCATCTGTCGCCGCTGCGCCGTGGCCCGTGACCCGGTTCTGCTGCACAGGTTCGAGCCGCACTCTCCGGTTAGTGCGCGCTGTCCTGTGTCTGCGTTTGCTGAAGTGAGCCGAGTTTCAAAATGAACTTTCAGATTGTTCCGGTTCGGTTCCGCTGACAGCGTTCAGAATACACACCGCTGCGCGTCCAACAAGATAGAATTCATGCTTATATTTGTCTCTATATAACTCTGAACTTTGCGATTAAATTAATCTCTTAATATTTGCAGATTATTTTTTGTCTTTTAGGTTTTAGAAATTAAATTTCAGTACTACAAATGATTATTTTCCTGCTCTATTTTTGTGCATTTAATAACAAATAAACATGGGCATGTCTGCAGCAGACCTAATAGTTAATAATAATAATAATTTTATTATTATTGTTATATGTTTTTGTATTGTTATTAATAATTGTTATTTTTTATAAATTATTAAAATATAAATTATTTTTATAAATTATTATACATATGAAGTAAGCTGTCAGGGTTGAATATTGTCCTCTTGTTTTATGTAACTTATAAATATTAACTTATAAATGAAAATGAAACATCTACATAAATGATAAATTCTCATTTTAAATGAGTCAATATTAATAATACATTTAGAATATAAATTAAATGTTGCACTTTGCCTATTTCAAATGAGGTGATAATAATAATGATTATTATTATTCTAAAAATTATTATAGATGTGAAATAAATAGTCAGAAAATGAGTGACAGCAGAAGTTGTTCTCTAGTGTTATTGTGTGTAATAAATTGCATGCATTTACATGAAAAATATTTATTGTTTAATAAAATAATTTTTTTAATAGTTTCTTTTGGAACAGTAGAAATCACTGATAATTTTCAAGCGGTAATTTTGTCAAGTTTTTTAAAATTGTGTACTGTGTTTATTTTCTTTATAATTGAACAAAATATATAAAATGATAATAAAATGATAATAAATAGTCATTGTGTTTGCAGATATAATGGCTGTTCCTCCGGCGTACGCAGACCTGGGAAAGGCTGCAAAGGACGTGTTTAACAAGGGCTACGGTAACACGCTTCTCTCCCTCAGCTCTGCAGAAAACACTCGTTTCAAACATGCATATTGTGTTATATTTACACTTGTGTGTTTCTGAATGCTGAAGGGTTTGGGACGGTGAAGCTTGATGTCAAAACCAAGTCTGCTAACGGAGTGGTGCGTGCTTTCTTAATTCACATTTTCTGTGCGCAGTTCATCCATGTACGTGATTTAAGGGTTTCTCTTTCAGGTCTTAATTCACCCTTCCATACATGAAGACTTTAAAAAAGTCTTAAATCAGAGCAGGAAGTCACTGGCAGTAAATGTTGCATGAACTGCAAAAGATCATTATTTTCCTCAGTTTTTTTATGTCTTGATTCCAGTACAAATATCTAAACATCCTTAAATCAAGGTACTTTTACTGGAGATGCAAAATATAGAAATCACTACATACACACACATACATACACACACATGTCTGGTCAGCTATCCTTGTGTGATGTCAAAACCAAGTCTGCTAACGGAGTGGTGCGTGCTTTCTTAATTCACATTTTCTGTGCGCAGTTCATCCATGTACGTGATTTAAGGGTTTCTCTTTCAGGTCTTAATTCACCCTTCCATACATGAAGACTTTAAAAAAGTCTTAAATCAGAGCAGGAAGTCACTGGCAGTAAATGTTGCATGAACTGCAAAAGATCATTATTTTCCTCAGTTTTTTTATGTCTTGATTCCAGTACAAATATCTAAACATCCTTAAATCAAGGTACTTTTACTGGAGATGCAAAATATAGAAATCACTACATACACACACATACATACACACACATGTCTGGTCAGCTATCCTTGTGTGGACTCTCCATAGGCGTAATGGTTTTTCTACTGTACAGACCGTATATTCTATTGTCCTAC